CTTATATAAATGACCCAAAAAACGAAACAATATCCTAGTTGGTATAGTCCGTATCATATTAACTCGTTATAATTTATTACGGCTAAAAGAATTACAGCCTTGCATCGATTTATATATTACAGAAAAACAGAGCAAATTATATTTATATCAGCCATGCTTTGATCTTATATACTCATTGTTGAAACGAGATATCCGAGATTTGCCGCTAGCATGTCAATGCTCAACATTTGTAAGTACTATTATTCAAAATTATGGTTTCAATTTAACTGAGTTATGTTGTGAAAATAAATGTTTCATACTTGAAGTTCAACAATTTCATCGTGAAAGATTGTATAATACGCTACTTCATGATTTAGCATAATATCTTCAAAATTAACTACATTTTCCTTCTCATTTTTAGAGACTTAGGACTCTCAGCTAACTTTAACTGGTATGATTAAAAATGTCTTATAATGTTATATATCATCATAATAAGTAAGTGCAAGTATTGATTTACAATGTGTTTAAAATATTTGAGATTTATCATAATATGTATTAAATAAATCTATCATCATGTTATTCTTCGCACTACAGCCACCGTACAAACGGATTTAGAATATGCTTTTTGACATTGATAGGATATTACAGCGACGCATGCCCCTATCTCTCGATTACGTTCGAGGGAGGCAAGGATCGTAAAAGATACTGGAACTATGCCATTCGTATCGTGAGCATTCGTTTACCGTACAACAACTTTAGACGAATCATTCTAAATTTTACGAATATGAGACAAATTTTATACTTTAATACATATTACCATTTTATCATTTTTCCAATATTTAATATTAATTTAAATCTAAATTTTTAAATAAGTATAATAATAGCAAAATGTATTCATATTTAGTTATAATATATAATAATAATTTTCATTTTTTAATTTCAATTTTTAAATAAGTATAAACCATTTCGGTTTTTTGGTTTGTTATAATATTTGTATAAAATATATACGTGCATATTCAAATATTTATAATTGTCTTCGTGTGTATAAGATAGCAAATAATAGTTTTTCTATTATTTGTATTCATATTTAGTAATTATTAATGTATAATAATAATTTTAATTTCATATTTTTTATATAGATATAAATCATTTTAGTATAAATTGATTTAATTCAGTTCAAATTTAGTAATCTAAATTAAAATATTTCATATTTAAATACAGATTATAATATATAAACTTCAAATAATAATATATTTTAGTTTTTTGTACTTCAATATAATTCGGATCAATAGTTCAATTTTAAATAGATATAATTAAACGGAGTAATCTAAATTTTAGTATATCATATTTAAATAAACTTTAATTAATAAAATATTTTTATGAAATAATGAATTATTATTTTATTTTATAAATTAAAGTTACAGTTTTTGGATCGTTATTGAACCTGGCAAGGCCTGACTAAATGACGTCATTCATCTTTATTATGAAATTTGCATCACGCGGATTATTATCGGAGGTTCTTAACTTTATCGTACATTTCGCAACTTTCCATCTGAAAATATATAAAAAATATAATATGTGAAATACTTATTACAGTCAAATTTAAACTTACTGATTATCAGGCTCTGCGTCTTTCATATCTTTTATTCTGAAATGTTGCAAAACCCAATAATCGTTACATCTATTTTCAGCAGGCAGTTTCTATGCGTGATTATTACCATCTTCCTTTATATATACGACGTTTTTTTCGGCTTCATCATTAGCTATTATTGATTATCGGATTAGCTGTTTATATAAATTATTGTAAAATATGAAAATAAAATATTAATACATTTGATTTAATCAAAATTCAATATTATTTACTTTATTTTCGAGTTTTAATTCTTTCTTATATTTTTTTGCTAGGAGCCCTTTTTTTTTTAAAAGTTTCCGTTGTTTTTTTCGCAGTCGGCCTAGGTGTTTCGTATTGGATGGCTGTATCACTCTAGAAAATGGTATTAAACATTATACTATTAAAAAATAATATATAAATATATTAATAATAACTTAACTCGCTGTTAATCTGACTATCTGTTTGTTCACCATATTGGTCCATTATTGATTTTAAAATAGTTCAAAATTTAATTTTAAAAGTATATAAATCTCTGTTTCAAAGTATTGAGAATACTATACCTCTATTTCATTTCAGGCGATGTTATATATACTCCCAATCCTCCTCGATACCCCCTTTTTTTTTCAAGTTACTGTAGGTATACCCAATGCAAAATGCACGGCGACTTTATCAACAACTGGTATCGAACAAGCAGCATCCGAATTTTGTCGGACGGCCGATTACGTTCAGTGTCGATACGCGTTTTGGATTGATAAATCTGTCCTAATCTATAACCTTCTTGTAAACGATTACAGCAAAACGCAATGGCGGTCCGCCGACCCTCGCAGTTCGAAATCAACAACTGTCGGCCGAAACAGTGATAATGTCAACGGCGTGCGTTTGATTTTCTCGAGAAATTCGGATAAAAAAAAAAAAAAAAGAAAAAAAAAGAACAATCCCAAAGTTCTTCATATCTGTATATCCGCGATCGGCAGAACCGGTTGCCATAATCGGCCGTATTGGTGTAGTGGGTAGTGTACATTGTTATGTAGGTTAGGTTATAGGTATCAGGTTTGGTCGGCCGGGTATCACAAATTGAAACGATACGGCCCCCTCCGGAAACGGCAGGTGCGAGTGTTTTATAATATTATTGTTATCAACAAAACAAAACCGTTTATAAGCGCGTTTTCGCGACCGACGGTATAACAATACGTACGACCGCTCCACGGCGTCTTGAACCGACCGCATTTTATAGAAAATCAAATTTAATAAAAAAAAAAACAAAATTTAAAAATAAAATAAATAAAAAAACAAAAAAACCAAACGTACAAAACGCATAATAAAATCGCGGGTCATGTCGCCGAAAAACGTTATGCTGCTCGTTTTGGCGTGTCTAGTCAACGGTAAGTCGTCGTAAAACACGGGAATTCGTTTTAATTATTTATTTATTTTTTTTTTTTATCCTTTTTTCAACCCGCACCCGTAATATCGGGCGCGTATTTTACATATCTCATTAGACATCGCGATACTATTACTGTACCTGTCCGCACGACGATGTCGTTGTAACGGGCGAACCGCGCGCGCGCGCCCTCCCCAATCGCTTGTTTATTGTGACGAGTATACGATATAAACGCACACGCTAATATTATAACGTTCGATTTAAACCATTGTCCTTTCGGACGCGATTTGGTTTTCGGGGTGGGGTCGGAAACCCGTTCGAATGGTTTTTGTTATCGCGTGATTGTCATTGATTGACGTGCCTCATATGATTGTTTAGCCGTTTAAAATGCGATTTTGTTTTATGAGTAGGCGTTTACCGTGTAGGTAGGTAGCGTTTTGACCGGGATGTTTACGACAGCAACGATACTGTCGTCGTACGTCCATTTCGCGTCCGGCGCGCACGGATGTCCCGGTAATTCAGAACATTTCGGCATTATTCGAAACCGTTTTTTTTTTTTTTTTTCATTGCATTTATACCGGCGAACTGTACGGGTCCAATGCGCCGGACACTGTTTGTGAAATTCGGTAAAACGCTATCACGTTTACGCATTAAAAAGGGTACACTGCGATTGAAAAAACGAACTATTATTTAGATCAAATAATTATTTAAAAAATTGTCGCTCGTAGGAATCAACAGAAAATTAAAATTATAATTAACAAAAACAAATGTTGTACATAACGCAAATACGGTAAACGTAATTTTTTGAAGCGAAAACATGGCAGTTTCAACAGTTAATTTCGTCAGTAGTGAATTAAAAATCATTGGATCAAACCGATTTCCTATAGTCGATAGGTGTACCTATGGCAATGCGGCCGATTGAACTGCGTTTTTTTTTTATTTTAATATAATAGTAAAGACACTGTTTTGGTGGAAAATTGTCAACGTCTCTTTCGATAGAAAAGTGTATTGGTGTAAAAGTGAGAGAGGTTCGTATTGGTAGTATTGAGTATTGGCGGGAAAACGGCAAAGGACACGATTAATAGAAACCGGTGGAAAGGGAAATGTTTAGCGTATTAATTTCATTTTGATTGTATTTGTGTATTGTGTTGCGTGTTTACAAGAACATTTCATAATAAAACGGTAAAATCATTTTTTTTACTTTTTTATGACACCCTCGAACAATAAACAATGATCGATTTAAAATATAAAAAAAAAATCCCTCTGCGTGCAGTTTTTATAATTCGGTGAAATAATTTTAGTTCTAATATTTTAGAGCCTTGGTAAAATAATTCAGGGTACGAAAACACATTTTAAGATAGTGCAGATAGAGATGACAAACGCCGGTGTATAATAATTATGGCCTGTGGCGGCGATAAAACGTATAGTAAATTATCGTTCACTAAATTAGTTATAACCTATAACTTTTAATAGGCTAACGATCAAACACAATTGAAAAATCTTAATTTAGTTTCATAATCATAATTAAGTCTTTTCTACGGCTTTAACCAGGGACGGAAATTGTTTTTAATTGTTTGTTTTCGTTTATCGATGTAAAAAAAATATCGTTTTCGCGAAACGTTTCGTTTTTGTTTTTTATTTTCCAATTCTTACATCAGAATAAAGTTCAAATAAAAATAAATCTAATTTTTAAGTGAATTAAATAAATACCTAATAGGTAGCAGTAGGTATAGCACATATACAATTAACAAAGAAACAAAGAAATGCCTAATTAACCACAAAAAATCAATAGATAACGACCGCAGTCTTATTAATCATCAGCGGTTATTTATGAGGATTACCTTTTTTTCGACAGCAAAATTCTTATTAATCATCTTTTTCTTTTTTTCTTTTTTTTAATTTCAATCATTTTTCAATTTATTCCCGTTTTTCATTTAATTCGGGTATTGGTATTATCTTTTTACTGTTCATTTGTTTTTTATTTTTTGAGGGGAGGGGGATTTCGTTATTAAATTTTTTTCGTTTAATGACTTTTTTCAAAAACGCTTTCCACCCCCTGTATTAAATTAATAAGTGTCATATTATTATATTTGTATGCGTATGCAGTTTTGCTAAGGTTAATTTTATTTGTTCGGAATATAAGTTAGGTTAGGTATACTGAGGGATCAAAATATTGACAGGGAAATATTTTTTTTTTAAATTATTATTTCCGAAAATTTCGGATCTTTTCTTCGTTTCTAATCTTTCATAAGGAAATTACTATTACCCACTTTAATATAATATTCATTTTTCATCCTCCGTCCGATCCCGGAAAATACGTTTAAACACTGCCATATTATTTTTGTTTAGATTTTTTTTTTTTTTTCTAGATGCCTTCTACACGGATGCCGCACCTACCAGCGATTTAACTGTAAGTAATAAAATAAAAACTTGGCTTGTTCGCTATTATACATAATATACGAGTAGGCTAAATGTAAAACTCACATGTCCCCCGAAAGTCAAATTTTTCGAAAAAGACAAAACCGAGAGAAGGGTTTCTTGTACAATGAAGACATCTAAAATACATTTTTCTTATGTAAATTAAGCTAAGAAAACGTATAACGACTATTCGTAGTTAATTTTTTAATCGTATTTTGTCGTTCGTTTGCAATATTTGTATTTTGTATGAAGTCGGATACATGCGAGTTTTGACACTAATAAATAAGGAACGAATTTATATGTTCTTAAATCTTCAGAAAATAAAAAACGCTTAAAACCTTTTTTTTTTTTTTTTGAATTTTAAGTGTCTAATCCGTTTCCTATTTATACGATATCTACGGACCATCTGAGTTTTGATATAATAGTTGAAATGGAATATGTGTGTTCACGTTATGGATCATCTGATTTATGAAATGGATTGGATAGGGTTCAGTGTCAATTACACGTGATCCAATGGAACTAGCGCTTCTTTCCGTTTGTATTTAGACCCGTTCGTATGCGTTTTGAAACGAACTGAATTGGATTCGCATATAAAACCCCTGTCGCCAACTCTTTTTTCCAATTTTTTTGAACATGTGAGTTTCGATTTTAGCCGGCTCGATTGCGTAGTATGTAATTAAGAATATTGTTAAAATTGACGTTTATGAAAAAAAAAAATAAACAACACTATCTATAAAGATTCGTGCTAAGATCAGATTATTATTAGATACCGTTCCATTTGTACACAATCATCACAACAATGCGTACGGAAAAAAATCGACCGGCTTTAAATGATTATCGACAATACAATATTGACCGTTGCGTGTAGCATGTATAGCGGCGGGTACTAATGAATTAATTTTGACGAGAACCCTGCGTGATAATTTTGTTTTCGACCGAGAACTTAGGTGCGGCCGGTGCCTATAGCGAGGCGTATTAACCTACACGACGGCTACACCCGCGACCTTCTGGAAGCCACCGGTTGTACATTGTGTTTAGCATACAATGTCGCGCCGGTCAATTTTATCGCGAAAACACAATGCACTGGTGCCGTGTTGTGTATAGCTGATAACAATACGGAAATGTAACCGCTCCGGACGTGCGTTTTAATTGTTTAGATTATTTGATGCGCGTTGAAAAAAAAAAAAATAAATAAATAATTAATTCGTCCGACAATCAGTATTGATCGTTAGTTCAACTAACGAGCTATGACTCGAACAACTAATCGATTGTACAATGTGTTTATTTTTTAAGAACGCCCAATCCGTTATTGAAACGCGCTGATGACTAGATGTACTCGTAATAAATATTTGTCAATTATTGTATTCCCAATGTTTCGGTCACTGTAGTGTAACCGCCGTACGAGTGTATTTGTTTTAGATTCCGCAGAGTAAATTACGCGGTTTTTTTTCCCCCCGTCTTAGTGCGTACAGACCTTAACCTAACCTGACCGCCGCAAATGACGTGTTTTTAGTTTTTCGCGGCGCAGATTTCCGAAAACAAAACGAAATTGTGGCCATCACATATTTGCGTACCGGCACATTTCGATTGAATTACGCATTTCCTTCCGTATCGATTTGTGATTACAATATAATAAATATCATTTAGCGTTTAAAAGCGAATTTCGGTAATTGTAAATGAAAATCCAGATTTCGGATTTCACAATTCGGTTTTCTGGTGTTTTTTGTAATTTTAAAAACGAATTTTTGTGTTTTTCCTATTTATATTTGTATATGTTTCTATAGTTACGATCTGTTTTAATTTGCACGCATTGATTGATGTATGTGTTAAAAACAATTGATGGTTTTTTTATACATTGTAATTTTAAAAAAATGCGTAAAATAATCCGAAATTAGAGTTTCAAAGTAGGATCTAGTAAACTGCAATTTCGGGTTTTAAAATCTCTCTTGTTTATACAAGGACCGGATATCCGCATTTAATTTCTCGGTTCAACTAACGGGTAAAATATTATATCGAAATTCCACAACAGTAGAATTCAAATTGCGGCGGAAATCAGTGGAAGTAAAAGTTTAAACATAGAGAGGCGAGTGTTTTTGATGGCGTCGCGTTCTTTAATAATAAAAAAAACGCCGCGATTTAAATTTTTAGCCACGTAATTTTGATATGTTACCGGTCAGTGAAGCGGAACGCGCCGAATTTTAAAGACCGTCGCAGTGGCATTTGTAATACACGTATTAAAAATGTGTTTACGTGAAACGAACGAAAAGATCTTTTAAATAGGTTCTAAAGGTAAAACGTCTGTTGTTGAAGACAATGTATTTAGCATTTATATTTGTTGTTTTTAATTGTAACTATCAAAAAAGTTACAGTTTAAAAAAAAAATAATCGAAAATACATAAATTAAAAGCGTTATCGTCGGCAACGAGTGGCATATTTTAGACGATTGTGAAACGTCAAAATTACCGTCGCCCATCATTTTTGTAACTCGTGTGTTTTATCTCTAAAACCGATTTCAAATCGATATTCTCGTTTGTTTTACGTGAACGATCTGTACTGATATACTGTCCGTCTGCTGCCGTCCTTAGGATTCGCGAGGCCCAGGACGAAATTTCAATTGTTTTCATATTTTATTTTATTACAATTCATATATTTTATTTTTTTCGAACGGGAGACTACAAATCTAAGTAAAATGCGCGAACCCCGATGCCTGTGCCTTGCACCCCCCCCTCCCGCATGCGCGCGCACACACGCATCAACACTCGTGAATATTGCGTTGGCCGGCAGGTGTTCTTTCCCCGTTCTTTGGTCGAGCTGGTGAGCTCGGATTCGTTCGAGCAAGTTTGGCGGGACGCCGCGGCCGACCAGCTGACCAAGCGGTTCGGCCGCCGCCGAGACGATGGCGGCCAACAGCCGTTGCCCACGCGGAACATGGTCGGCGACTACATCGTGTCGGACGAATTCCAGCAGGCCGTGTGCAAGGGCGCCAACCAGGGCATGACGTCTATGGGCGGTATGATGAGCAACGCCCCGGCGCCGTGGTCGTTCATGGGCACGTTCATCGGGTCGGAGAAGTTCAATCACGGTTGTTGCGACATGATGTCGCAGGGCATGATTCAGTTCGGCCAAGGCATGAACAACTACTTCGCGCGGTCGGCGCCGGCCGAACAGGAGCAGGACCCGCTGCTCGCGCTGGACGAGTTCTTCCGGTCCGAACACTACGGCACCGCCAGAGAACGGCTGCGAACCATGTTCTCGGACGTACAGTTCTGACCGCGGCGCCGCGCGCGCGGTGGTTCCGCGCACTAGTTTGCCGCACTGTAGTGTAGCCGTATTATAGTAGTACAATTTCATTCTTACCATTTAACCGCGTGTCGATAAAATGTTATGTTTTCTTTGTGTTTTCTTTTGTTTTTTTTTTTTTTTTGGTACATAATATATTATTATAATATTTATTGAAATTGTAGTCGGCGTGATTTGAAATATAGTCCTATCCAAAAGAAACATTTTCAAAAAAAAAAAAACACGCGAGCACCCGAGCTCCGTCATTACAATCGTTTTTTTCCCCGGGCGATTTGCTGCCGTTAAACGAAAAAAAAAAAATAATAATAAAAAATATTTTATCGGCGTATGTGCAAAACAGTCGCCGAGATTTTCCGACTTTTTTGAAAAAAAAAAAACCATAACGGCCGCGACCGCATTTTCGGAAAATCCGCGCGCGTGTTACAAGGTACACGGTTTCAAGTGGACGGATTCGTTGTTTCGGGTGTTGCGAAACGCACGGTACGGTTCAAACATTCTTACACAGAACGCGCTCCATTTCGATTTTCGAGCAAACGTTTTAAATCAAAAGAGAACAACATTTCAGAGAGCGAGACGTTGAATTTCCCCCCCCCCCGTTGTCTCCTAGTATAACAGTTATAAATGCCGTTCATAAATAACGGATTTTTCAACGGTTTTTTTCAATTCGCTAAAACTTTAAAAAACCGCAACGTCTCGCACACTCCGGTGTATCGTTCCCTATTCGTTTCGTAGTAGTTGCTTTTGCTGTAAAACCGAAACCGAACAAGTTCTGTGTAGTCCGCGTGAACACGTTCTCACCATAATACCTTGTGTTTATGAGACAGAAACGACAAATGTACGTGTAACGTAAGCGGCGTTATTACCAACGTGAAAAAAATGTTTTCGGAGAACGCGCAAACGTAACTCCGGCTGTCCCCCTGGCCGTTGCACACACTTCGCAAATGACCGACTCGCGGTGTGATTCCGATCGGTTCCTATTTCATTACCGACAATACACGATTATTACGGAACGGTTGCGATATCGCGCGATCCATTTTCATTCGATCGGTTCCGGAGCGACAAGGATTTTCCGAAGACGGACGTGAATTCAACTCGAAGTCTGGGTCGTATTATTCAAAGTCGTCGGGCCCCTTTTTTTTCTCGAGTTTAATCCTCCGCGATTTCGGAAAATTAAAAAAAAAAAAAAAACACTCTAAAATTGAATTGAAAAATTACTTTTTCGGTTAAATCGTTAGTGGATCGAGTTCGTGTTTCGCGGGGGGGGGGGGGGAGAGGGGAGCCGATTTCATAATCGACTCTGGTACTTTTTACTCGACCGCGCTAGAAAGTGACCGTAAAATGTGTTTAGATGATATTTACAACAACAAACGCGGGCATACATTTTTTTCCCGTATTTCCCGCTTGACGCGGTTTCAAACGCATAATATATTGTCTTGAACTGCTACCGTACTTGTTGCCCGTTAACCGAGCGTATTTGACCGCAAGCGCAAGCGTCTCGGGAGACACGCGTTGCCCCTGTACTCCCCACCGTGAAATTCGCCGCCGGATCTCACGCAGTCGAAAAAAAAAATAACAAAATGTCGGCGTATCGCGAGGGTTTCCGAACCGTTCTGCGGGTCGTGCGCCGCGAGCAACGAAAGAGAACTTTTGGTTTAGCGGGCGCGCCGGGAAGGGCCCGACGAATCATAATTTTAGCGGGGAAAATCGCTGTCGCGCGTGACCGTGTGTCGATTTCCGGGGGAGAGGGGGGTGGGGGGAGTTTGGAGAAACGTAAAAACACGATTACACGGTACCGCCGGGGAATCGTTTGTTCCGGTCAACCGTCGCGCGCGGATAAACACGACGGAATTCGCCGCGCGAAACGGCGGGCGCGGCACCCGTCAGCGGCGTCAGCAGCGTTTTTCACCGTGCGTTATGTTGTATTATAGGCGGCTAACGCGGCACCGTCCGAAAGCCGAGTGCTGCGGGCCAACGACAGAGATTACGAAAACGAGGTGGACGACAAGGACAAGACGGCGTTCGAAAACTTCTTGCTGGGCGTGCACAACGTCGACGCGGCGATGGAAGCGATGATCGACAACTACACGGACGGCGTGGAGCACATGGGCGAAGAGAACGCGCCGGACGGCTCGCTGTTCGACAAGATAGTCCAGCCGGACCGCAATTGACGGAACGCGCGCGACGTCCGTATCAGTAGTTTAGACGATACCGTTATCATTGTACGCGCGCGTCACGTGTGTACGTCGAACGCGGCCGCGTGTGCGGCGCCTGTCAATCCATGTAGACCAATATAATTGTGTACTCACCGCACGTGTATTTTATTCGCGATCGGACCGGCGCCGGCCGTCGGCCCCGGACGCTAACGTCCTCCCGCCCTTCCCCTCCTCCTACTCCTCGTACTCCCCCCCCCACACCCGTAATTTCTCCCGTTGTCGGCGCGCGCTACGGTAATGTCGCGCGACCGTTTTATCGCTCACAAGCGGTTTGAAATGTAAAACTTCAAAAACCGCCGTGCCGCCCGCCGACCAATGTGTTTTAAATTGTCTTTCCGTCTGTGAAACCGATCGTGGGCGTGGATTTGCCGTGTCGCCGGGATTAGAGGCTGCCGGCGGATCGCTCTCCGTTTGAACACCCGACTGCTCACGGTCGGCGAGCGGGGGGGGGGAGGGGCGGTTGCAATTAGTTTACAGTAGCCGAGTGTTCCCGTAGCGGGGCCCGTGCAATCGGTCCGGGAAATGCGAAACCTATCCCGACACCGCGACGAAAACCGATTTCACCGGTATCACACATCCGATACGGACGCGGTGACCGTATAAACACGGACGTTCTCCGCGGCCGAAACGGGTCCGGACATTTAGCAGTGACCAATGTCGCCTACGAAACGGTCTGCGGTCGCAGTACTTACCGACGCACTCCCTCGGGACATTTCAAACCGAATGCTAATAATATTGAACAAAAATGTCGTTTGCGATAATTTCCTACCGTTAGAACCGATTTTATCGGACTATAATTTTATTTAATGAAAACGCGAATCGTAACGTTTTTTCGTCCTTTTTGTTTTGTTTGTTTTCAGAATCCTAATGACGATCCGCCCGACGCGATCCAAATAGAATCGCCACTGACGAACGTACCGACCATGGGCGACGACCAACAAGTTTCGTCGGCCGGCGAACCACCCGTCCCGAGCGCCGAACAACAACAAGACGGACAGGCCAAGGGACCGTTGACCGGCCTGATACCGGGCGGTAGTACGACGACCGCTCCAGCGGCGTCCGCGGGGTCGGGGTCGGGGTCGCCACTGCCCGACGGACTTTTGGGCGGCGGAGGGCTTCCCACCGGGATCCCCGGGCTTCCGGGAGGGCTTTCCGGTGCCGGGGGCGACGGCCAAAACGCTCCCACGCTCATTCTGGGCGGATTTTCCGTACTCGTGATGCCGTTGCGGGGCATGAGCCTGTCCAACATGGCCTCGATGATGTCGAATGGACAACAGATGATGCAGCTGCTGCCCAAACCCGGTGTCGGGTGATCGGCCAAAACGATCCGCAGTCGTGCGCAACTCGTTCGGGGCATTATACAGGAATCGTTATCAAAATACCAACACATACATACATAACCACACGCAATGATAATAATATTACTTATATTTATTTTGGTCGTACGATAAAACTATAGTCGTTATAAGTATATCGTCGAGATAAATGTTAAAAATAAATATCGTATACGAAATTTAAATAGTACAAATAATGATATGAAACAAGTAAAAAAAAAAAAAAAACACTATCATTTTGTTCGTCCATTTGTTTATAACGTCGTGATAATATGGAAATCGGCCGCAGACCGTAACGCGAACGCAATATTACGCACGCATTATTTAACATACAGTCCAATATTTCTGTCCGTAAATCCCAAATTATTCAATTCCGTTTGTTCCGAGCGCCTTTCCGTTATCGGACCGTCATCGGTCGATGTTCTTCCTTACAAAGTCCATGTACTTGGCCACGTCCGTGAACACCACGTAATGTTTCGTGTCGCATATCCGCAGGCCCTCTTTGGGCACTGCCAACGACACGATTCCTCTCAAGTACCATCGGGAATTCTTGTTGAACACCATACCGCCGCCGCTGTCACCGGTGCACACACTAGTGCCTAGAAATAAAAATAATTATTAAACGACAAGAATATTATGGAAAGGTAATTGCCAATCAAAAAATGTTGGAATCATTTCATCCCCCGTTCCCAGTTTGCATACTTAATAGAAGTCATTTTTATAACACTATAAATAATTTGAATCGGTCAATTTCAAATTTTAATAATTATTTGAATTGGTAATATTTTTAGAATCGATATGCGTAATAACGAATTGATACGCGCGTATGACGGTGCATAATTTATCGGATGTAAATACAATTTTGCAATACTTATATTTACGTACCGTTTCTGAATCCCGCACAAAATGTTTTGTTAGAAGAGAATTCCGAATAGAAATTCGGATTGCTCCATAGACAGGTTTCATGTGACACTACCGGCATTTTAGCCATTTTCAGTTCTTCGGTCGGCGTGTCGTTTTCGTCGTAACCCCAACCGACCACCTGTAAAAAAAAAAAAAAAAATTATGAAATACGGTTGATTTCTACGTCGGAAGTTATGTAAATTTCCGTGTAAAGTGCAGTGACATAACGCGTATACACATATCAAACATATTTAAGCGTTTCACGTGTAGTGAAAAGTTTAAACCTTTTCAGCAATTATACTTGGCTTTTTTTGCGAATCGCATAGGTTGTCAATTTCAACACGTACCCCATCCCCGTTATCCCATTATAAAATAAACTATTCGGTACGCCACTGAATAACGCGGATTAATTATATTATACACGTTCGTCCGTCAGCTGCGCCTTACCGTTCCTTCTTTGTTCACTATGTTGTCCAAACTGTCGGATTCGTCCCACAAGCACACGGGCGTCACGTATTTCGTGTATTCCACGTTAGACGAAAGCGTCAAAATGGCCAAGTCTCCGGTGAAGTTGTTTTTGTTAAACGCCGGGAACACGTTTATTCGGCTCACCTACGAAAATAACGGAAACGTGAATCGGTCGTAAATTCCGCACTACACCAGTTGTCCCGTTTAGAGCGGTTCGATTTTCGCTATAGCTACTGCAGTTGCAGTCTCACCTGTTTCGTCTGGATGCCCAACTCGTCACTGTACTGGAACCTGTGGTGTTTGCCGAGGTAAATCACAAGCTTTTTGGATTGGATGATGGAATCTTCGTTCTTTTCGAACACGCAATGAGCGGCTGTGGTATCAGAAATGAAGACGTTTTAAAATTGTTTTTTTACACGACGACGCGCAATGTCCCGACTAGAGCTTTGGAAGTTTCCTCATACATAAACAAACGTATGCAATTGAAAATGTTTGCCAGCACGATTTTTCGCAGAATAATCCAGCTATCAAATTACTAATTATTTACAAAAATGTGTATACGAAATATTACAATGTTCAAATCGCGTGTTTGATGTCTTATTCATCCTCTTCGCCTTTATCCCACTCTTATTATGACCGTTTATATAAAATATATCTACTCCAAACGCCCCCATGTCTAATTTAAGAACCACCAACAACTTTTACCCAGTCTACTTCTTCGTCTCTACACACATTGCTCGTCTATTTTCTCTTCCTTTCAATAAATATCTATGACTCCATTAAACGCGACCTATGATGATTGCGACATATCCAACGTATCACTCACCTGTGATTACTTTGTTTTTCGATACGAGTGACCCTCCACAATTGTAGTTCAAGTTTGCGCCTTCGACCCGGTAGAGCGCCACGTGCCAGGGCCACTGTCCTTGAAGTGTCGACTGTCCGTACGTTATCAGTGGCACGGCCTGCAACTTAATGGTGCCGCATGTCTCCGAATCTGAATCGGACGATTGTTCCGAGTGGGTGCTGTTGCAAGAAAAACGTAATTGTTAGTAAAAACAAGTAAATATAATTTTATTTTCCCAGCCAGTAACGAACCTGGCGGTGTCTTCGCCGTAATTGTACTTTGGTCTCGGGGTGGTCGTCGTAGTCGATTTTTGTCCGGACGGCCTTTCGCCGCCATGTAAATTCGGTCTTGACTCACTGTTACCGTTGCTGCTACCGCTGTTGCTACTGCTACCGGTATTTGAAGGCCGGTTCTGTGGGTTTTTTTCCACGACAGTTATGATGACGGTTTTGTTGGTGTTGTTTTCGTTCTGTAATAACCCGTTGATAACACCGTTGAGGTCACTATTGGAGTCTATGGTGCTGGCTTGTAACGTCAACAGGTTGGCGTTTCCGTTATTGTTTTTCTTGTTTGGCGGCCTACTGTCATCCGTGTTCTCCCTCGGTGGATTTCGAGTAGAGGTCGTAGTCGTCGTCATCTTCGTCGATCGTCTTGTAGTAGTGTACGGTTCTTCCGTCGTCTCAACCGGTGATGGGCGGTTGTAGTTGTTATGATAATTGTTGTTATTATTGTTGTTGTTGTTGTTGTTGTTATTGTTACTGTACCCGAATTCTTCGGAGTTCTCCACGAATACGGGATCCGGTCTGTTCTGCACCGTTGGCGGCCTTAACGACTCTTCGTACTCGTAGTTTTGTGCTGGAAACATAATAATATTATGCGCCAACATTGCATTGCTAAGCAGATTACGTTGGAGGTGAGTAATGGACTATTCTTACCCGAATCCTTTGGGCAAATCTGGCGGTTGTTGAGTTTGATCGACCGTATTCTGGGACTACCTATGGACGGGTTGAATTTGACCATGATTCTGGACGTCATGGTGGAACCAGATCTCAGTCTTTGGTTCAAGTTCAGAATAGTGTACTTGATGCTATCACTGGTCGACAACTCGCCCGTCCACGACTGAAACCATGCCTATACGTAATATTCATACTAGGTATAGAAAATAAACGTTTCTGGCGCATAAAAAAATCAATACACCAGCGGTTTCAAAACTTTTCAAAGGCCGGTGCCCTTTTAAGGATCAAATTCAGCCGTGTGGTCCTACTAAATGAACATCGCCAAAAACATTTATAAAAAATAGTAGGTACACTATATTACGTCCCATTACCAATAACCACTGAACAAATACAAACAAAGGCATCACGAGACAAAAAAAAAAAAAAAAAAAAAAAAAAAAAAAAAAAAAAAAAAAACCGCTATAAAAGTGAAAAGTTTATCTGTTGTGGCAAATTTAAATCAACAAATCAAATTAAAATTAATTACTAATTATTTTAATTTGTATATGAACCACTGGCGCCTTTAGGCACCGCGGTTCACAGTTTGGGAACCGTTCCAATAACCATTAACATATTATACAGGTCAGTATTTGTGAATCGGTGAAAGCCATTTGTTTGAGGAACGTCTAAAAAAAAAGTATACAGTAGCCACCGCAGCCACTCCGAAAAATAAAACAAAATATGAACTGTGTTTTTCGTCTTGTTTCCCGTTGTACAAATAAATACAGACAAGTTTTTATTTTATTGATTACGATTCCCGAATTCGATTAGCATTCAGTCCTAGGCCGGTAATTTCATTAATTTCCGCCGTAACCCCAATTTCTATAATTCCATATTACAGCTGTAATTTTTGATTAGTGTGTATGTCAACCACCGCTGCGCGGCAGGTACTTACGACCATTAAATCCGAACGTCTATCCAGTTCGATGTCCAATCGGACGCCCACCAAGTTTTCGTTGCTTCTGAACACGATGCCGCCGTACCACTTATCGTATTCCGGTTCCGTGCCCTCGTAGGTGAACACGTCAGGGCAGGGAGACGGCGGATGGCTGGCCAACGACAGTCCCGAAATAATCAGCAGTCCGCCAATCAATAACCGCGCTAGTTGCTAGACGAAAACAGCGGCCGATTAACAGATACATTCAAAAACAATAACACAATATACCGTAATACCGTACAATAATATTATTATACAGGGTGTTTCAATAGATGCGATTTTAAACCCGTGCGATTTCTGTGGTGAAATACAATTGCGCGGTAACGGCCCAAGTTTAAGGCGTATGAAAGGGGCAATTGCCCCCTCGACAATTGTTTTCAACTGATTCAATTTTGTTTAACTAATCACGGGAAAAACAAAAAAAAATTGTACACATATTTTGTTTTTGGCGTTACGGTGAAATATTTTTAACCACATTTTCAGTTTTTCAAGGATAAATATGACATTCATCTTCCGTGGTTTGATAAGTGTAAGTCTATCTGTCCTTGCACACATACACACGATTCCATTTCTTGTACAAGTAAATCGAACAAGTAACTCGTTCGACAAAAGCTAGGACTGGTCCTATGTTATATTATTATATTTTACAAAGTATATAAAACTTACAAACGATTAAGTCGGTGCACACGTCGTGTTCACTAGTTATCTTTATATCTTTTTACCGTACAAGAATACGGAGTCACGTGTACCGTTAGAAAGTTTACTGAACTTGATATGAAACGGTGAAACCAGTTTTGTCTCATTCTACGTGCAGTCCACATAGCCGATATTAAAATGGAGTATACGCGCCTCTCCCTAATGTCCGCGGAAGGTTCGTCGAACTCTATGTGGCTGCAACTGTGACAAGAGCGGTTCGACCGGGTGGGATATTGGGTTATTAGAATTCCAAAGCCGATTATGTGGGCGCGCGCAGAAAATGTTATTATTTCCATTGTAGGTTCGGACGATACCGCTATGTTTTACCGTTGAAACACCCTGTATAACCGATAACAGCATCAACGTGAAAAATCCTCCGTTGTACCATTTTCGAAGATCCCGATTGCGTTTCGCTTATGTCCGCCGAGTACGGATTTCTTCGGGTCGGCCGGTTAGCTGGAGAACGTTTTCGTTGCGCTTCTCTGTCGTATAATCGAGGCGCCCTTGCACCCGACAAGCATTTTGCAACGTCCCGACCCCGGGGCCGAGTGTGCGAATTTACGGTCTGTCGGCAGCAGCAGCAACAGCAGACGGCGTCCAATGTTACCGCGTCTAAATAACGTACAGAGATTCAAATATTAATGTTGTACATTACGTCGCAACACGTGATCCCGCGCCGAAGGACGACTACTTTTCTGACTTTAAGGCGGTTTTTTTTGTGTTTCGCACGATACGGTCGTATGAAATCACACGCGCGACGACAAACCCGCAGATTATTATCGATGACGATGCCGGTAACGTATTATTAACATTACGAGTTGTTGTTTTTGTTTTTATTTAATTTTTTTTTTCTCGCGGTTTACTGCGCAAAACGGTCACTGACGTTTTCGCATTTCCGTCGGAATCGTATTTGTTGACCGCGTCCGACGCGACGTGCGTACCAACACGAATCGACAAACCGAACTGTAGGATCGCGGTCCGATAATCGATTTGAAAAAATGAAAGAAACGTCGGGTTTTATAAATCAAATGTATCGACGATTTGCGTTGTTGTCGTCGGGCGGTATAGATGAAAAACTCGAAGCGTACACGACATCGTAATACAATAAAAACACCCATCGTCCGGTCAATATTATTAAAAACGAAAACTCTTAAAGCACAGGGTTTTATCATTTACCGCCCGGACTGTAGTTCTTTACCAGACCTTTGTCTGATATACGATATAATAATTACTTTTCTTGTACGAAGAGTGCAGCTTTGCGAATTACAGCTAATTCGGTTGATTACGACGATACGATAAAATTGGCGTTGTCGTGAAGACCTAACAACCCCTGCCTTATTATGTTTTCGTAGTTTTCATCGGAGAGTTTGCGAACGGTTTTAACGGGTTCTTCAGGGAAGACAGTTTATGGTATACTGGAAAAATGTCAGTGAATGAGGGACGCCGTGAATTTGATGAGGAAAGGACGAACAACAATTCCTAAACGCGGCCCCGCCTGTTCGACATTGAAATATAATTGATAACGTCAACTTTTTCGAGTGTGCCAAACACGGTCAGTGTGATTACGAATACGACGATACGCTAAGCGATTCGCTTGGAACTTTCGAAACGTAACAATTTCAGTTGATACGAAAAAAAAAAAAAAAAAAACAAAAATTATTTTCTCGAGTAAGGTATCAATTTTGTTTATAAAACGTCGTTTACCTTCGAATCACGATTGTTTATTAAGTTTTCGCTGTAACCAACATAAATTGGCATTCGTACATCACACTTTAAACAAGGCCCAGCGCACACCAAAAGAGCAAAACTGCTTTAAACAGTGTTAGTCGGCCGAACGCAGTTTTGTTAAAAATCGAACACAGGGAATAACGTCGCATACGCACATCGGTAAAACGAAAACAAAACGAAAACATTTTTTGCTTTAAACGCCATCGGTCATGACTAACACCGCGTGAAGTGTTTACGTTTTTCTTTAGTCGTAATCAGTCACACGGTAGAGTTACTATATTCGTAATATTATTACGCGATACACGTCTTTTGTTCAATGGACGTGCCCGTAACTTTTTTACCCCGGTCTTTTAAACCGTGTAGAGTGTATCACATACAAATGGTAAAATGGATATTTAAATTATTTCAAATAGCTGTTTTAAGAATAACAGCCACATTCGTTCATGTCATAATATTGGAGTAGGATAAATAATCCGGGGGAGGGGACGAGTTTTAAATGTTTGGAAAAAAATCATTGGTACTAACCGGTGACTGCGGAATCGTTTATGAAAGCAATTATTATATTTGTACGCAAACCGGTAACAAAAATACCTTGCAAGAAATTAAACATTCCTTAAGTTTCTTTTCCCAAGTGTTGTGCAAATTAAACGTTACACACATAACCATGGTCTGTGAAAGTCAATCTGCCAACGAACGAGTCGAAACCGTCCGAGCTCATAACTAATAAGAACTTTTAGTTCGCGTTCGTATACACGTCTCGGAGGTTAAACTCGTCCGTGTTCGATTGACACAATATGAACACCCCTTATTTACCATCACCGACTTTCAGCGGACTGAAATTATATTTTGTGTGTTGGCGATTTTCTATATTGCAGTGGAAATAAAACGCTAGCAAAAGTACCGCGGACGCACCGTGCACAATAATCGGTTTTAACTCGACTACGGCGATAGGAATCCCGATTGGAAATATCGGCAATTGGTTATTACCAGGTTCGAAAATCATCGATACGACACGCGCCGATAAACAACGGACGCAGTTCGCAACATTATCGTCATAACGCCATTCCGTTAATATTGCAAGTGATCACCGGCAGGTTCGTCCCGGTTCACGGTCATAGATAATGACGCACGTGGGTACCAAACTTATAAACGTTAATAATTATACAATCGTAATCGGGTCTGGAGATTTGGTCGTCTTTTGTTCAAGACAGGAAGGGGTGATTATCATGATAACTTCTATTATTATTTATATGTATACTAAAAACTTCGCACATGGATGTAATTCTAGACCGGGAAGGTTACATTACGTTCAAGCAACTCGTCCCACCCGCGTTCAGCACCTACAGGGAGGGGGCGGACACGGGGTTATTGGTATTTTTGGTACGAAAATCGAATTTTATTCGTCGATTTATGGGTTGATTTGGTAACGCGGATGAAACACAAAAACGCCGGCAAAGAAGTCCCCCCGAGGAAAAAAATGACCGGGTAACTGTGATGGATGCGTAGTGGAAACGGGGAGGCGCATTTCTATACATTTTTTCGTTCAATACTGTGCATGAGTCAGCTAGTAATGTATATCGAAGGGAATTGAGGGCGTGGGGAGGGGGATACTATATTCCTCTCGTTCCACTCGTTTGACCACCCCTGAAACGTATATACCTATATTATACTCGAGACTAAACGATCAGATTCGATGTATTAGTTGAAAAACATTTCGATCGCCACGCTAGTATTTCATTTTTATAACAAGTTTTTTTTTTTTTTTTTAAATGTTACTAATTGAAATTTGTTTTAACGAATTCAAAGTCGATCTTGGTACTCCTTCGATATTTTTACCGTAAAATATTATTCTGAAAGTTTCTATCCGCGCCTGTTATCAATAAACGTCAAGACAACTTTTTTTTATCCATTTTAGATGTAGATGGTGCTTTACAGTTTAAGGAGATCATTTTTTTGAAATTCTAAGCGGTTTTCATAATAATTGGAAAGAAACGTTGGGGTAAACGGACAAATGTCTACGGCGTAACGATTTTATGATTTCACATTTTCGTAACTTATGTTTTATACAAGAAATATTGTTTCAATCGAAAAACTAAGGGAGACCTTTTTTGTCGAATTCCTGAACTAGTCGGCGACGAAGAAAACCGTTTTTTTTTTTTTTTTTTTTCATTATTATTTGCCCAACGGTTTTCATAATAACAGGGAAAAACCCGAAAAATACGAAACACACTAACCGAGATTGCGTAATAGTAAAATGTGTTTACCTGCGCGAGATAATAAGTGCTTACTGCGTAATACGCTGCATTCAGTATGCATTTACTCGAATGCAATAATATTATGACACGTGTGTTGTTGCAAAAGCCGCGGGCACCGTTAACCGGGCTCCGTTCAGAATCGTTTTTCGTTAGCTATAAATCATAATTAATCGTCGCGTACAGATACGTAAATTGAACACCGCTCTATGTCCGACACTTTCCCAGTTACTCGCCAGCGACCACAATCGGCGATCCACCCGTGGTGCGAAGCACGTCCGTCTATATTCTCGTTTCATTCGCATTTTCATATCGCTCGGCGTAACTTGATGCGTATCAACACTCGATGATTTTCAACGTTTCTCTTTCGCGCCCGGCGGCAACGAGTTGGCGAATTTCATTCCACGCACACGTATCAATAATAACACACGCATCCGCCGCTAGATTTCGCGCACGCGTAATTTCTTCTTGTTGCTAGAAAAACCGTCGGTTCTGTTCGTCGCCAACTGCACACACACGTAGGCACACTGTACGGGCTACACGGGAAAACCCGTCCAATTACGCGACGTCGTCATCGACGTCACCCGGGACCGCGCTACCCGTCGCATTGCCGGACTGGAACGCGCGTGGCAGCGGTTCGGAAAACAAGTCTCGTCCTCTGGTGTAATATGATGTAATGGCCGGTACTGCTGATAGACGTACCGCCGGTTTAGGAAGGAAATTGGAAGGGAGGATAAGCAGGGTAATTTAATTTTTATCTGTATGCGACGATAAGCCATTGCTAACGAAAACCGATTCTGAGCCGAGTATCGCTGGTTGTGTTTTATTTATTTATTTATTCATTTAGAATTCAACGGAGCTAGCCCTTTTACAATATAGAGTGCGGTCAAAAATACGAAGAAATATACGAAAAGAAAATATTAAAGAAAACGTTGATATGCTGGGACTAATTTATACGGCTTTTTTCAAAAATAAACCAGATTTAAATCCAATTTAAATCACGAGTCGTATTGAAGAAATTTAAGACAGTTTCGGAGCTCTAACGAAAAAGTAATCTTTTTACCCGATTTGGACTTAAGGTACGGGATGGCGAAAAGACCACGATTTCTCGAACAGTAGGGGGGGGGGATACGGAAATTGATATGAGCTAAAGGCTCGGGGCATACAAACGTTATAATTCGATAAACCGAGGGTTTGACCCCCCCTTAACGTTCCCCCGCGCGCGCCACCGGACGCCCAGGCAACTAATGACCGTTGTTGTCGAAAACGCCTACGACGTTGCGATACTCACCGGTTGTACGTACACGGCGTGCGATCCGCGGGCACGGTCCGAAGGCAGCCACGAAAACGTACACGGCACAACGTTAACGACGAACGGGCCGGGTGAAAAACGCGCGACTACTGAGACCGGCCGGGGCGTCGACGAGATCGCTTTGACCGGCGCCCGGCCGTGCCCGCGCGACTCCGAAGTCCGGCACCGGTCTAAGGTCGCGGGCGCCGTCACCGCGGTCCCCACCGCCCGGACCGCGTTGCATAAAATTCAACAAGACGCGCGCGCCCGTGAAAATTAACAATAACAACACGTTCGGCACGGTGTTGTTGCGGCGCAGGTCCGTAACGACGTCGCGGCGTACGGCGTGAACACCGCGAACCAGTTTTTCCCGCCCCGTCGACGACGACCGTGCGCGCGCGCGAGAGCGATTTTTTTTTTTTTTTTACCCACCACGAACCAGCGATTATGTTTATTGCAACCGTCCGGGCGGATTCCCAGTGGACCCGATTCCCGGTTTCTGTTCGGTTCGCCGCTGAAACGTTTGGGTTTTTTCTTTCGAAACCGTTTTTTTTTTCATTTTTCACCCCTACCCCCTCCACCCCCCCCCCCAACGCAGCTTTTGCTTTTCGCACGGGAAACCCTTCGTTTTCGAACACGGATTCGAATAGAAAACAGCTGCTCGCTTTTTTTCCCGGAAATGTTGACGCGTGCGTAACGCTGATATCGGATTTACCGTTTAAAGTCTACACCCGAGTGCAATGGGAAAATTATCGATTTATCATTTACAAACAGACACGCAATTCATTGCCCTTCCTTCCATTCCGCCGGTATAAACTTTGAACGGTTATAACTCATAAACGGTAAATCTGACATGAATATTACGCATGTACATCGACATTTCTAGACAATAGTTCCCTATTTAAATCTGTGTTCCAAAAAGAAGGGTTTCTATTTGAAAAACACGAGTGTACCTGTACATACTTATTTAAGGTATTCGGAGCACGAGTGAAAGTTAAAATAAAGGTTAACCGATTCCACGACGATTGGTAAAAAAAAAAAAAAAAAAAAAAAAAAAAAAACAGAAATCAAATTCGCAAAATGGGGACAAGTTTCGCGCGGATTTTTCGTACTCGTTGCAGTGAAAATATACTATTTTTTTTAATTCATAAAGAGGTTACACCTATACAGTGACGAAAAAAAAAAAAAATGGTTAATACTGATATTATTGCCGGTGAACGTGTCACTGTATCAGGACGGAAGTTAAAAGAGAGGATACAAAGAGTAATTCAATATAGGTAATATCTGTGTGGAACCATTGCTATCGTAAAATGATTCTGAGCTGTGCGTTAATAATCGTATTTTTCCCTTGTTGTCAATGTAAGTAACACTGAAATCAACAAAAACCACGTACAAAACCAAATTTCAGTTTTTCCCGTCTGTTAAAAACACTTAACGAGAATTCAAAAAAAATGACTTTCTCAATGAATCAACCACAGACCAAAGATGTTACGAGAAAGATTCTCCATAGTTTTTGATCATGATTTCGGGAGTTTGAAAAGCTGTTTGCAGACACGTAAAAACACACACATCATAGCGATACTAATATGCATCCGTTACTCGCTTTGTTCAAAATCTAAAAATGTCAAACGTTTGTGTACATATGAACTATCGAGTTCGTTTTACCGGTCAAGAAACGACGGCGCGGTGAAAACAGTTTTCCCCCCCATTGGTTTTATCATAACGCTGTTACTTAGGCACATTATCTTCGACGCGATAGAATTAAAATGCGTTTTAATTTTTTTTATAAATACCCGGGTACGTACGTATTTTGTTAGAAGTGGAAAAAAAAAAATCATATTAAATCGCGTGATAATGACCTCACGGCCGGCCATACAACTGTAAAAAATAAACAACAGACCGTCATATTATATTTATTATACACGTGGCACACTGCATACCATTAATATTGTTGTGCAATAAAGTTGGAAAAAACGCAATTTTTTTTTTTATAGTTTACCTACCTATTTAATATAATATTAAAATGGACAATAGCTATTTGGTTTTATAGTGTTTTACTTGACTTGGCGATAGACAGTGATTACAAATCACGAGTAAATTTAATATGTTACCATCATAAAAATTCACTGGGAGTATTCAAACTTTTCTATAAATATCACGTTCTCAACTCTCAGTTAGTTGAACGCAATAGTTTGCGAGCAAAAATATGAATTAAATCATTATCAACAAGTTTAGAAAACGGGAAAAAATATACAGTTATACATTTTGTTATTTTTTGCTGGATTTTAAACAGCCCTTTGACTGACTGGCAATCCTATAGTTAAAAAAAAAAAAAAAAACAGTTTTATAATATTAAGAAACACGAGAAAAATAGTTCCTACCAGACAACTCTGTGAGCATAATTATTAAAATGTTATTAAAAAAAAAAAAAAAAAAAATCAAGAACACTTAATTTATTATTTTAGGTAGGTACTTTTACAATTTAAAATTGCACAAATCATTTTCTAATCCAAGACATTGGTATAAAAATAAAAATGGACACAGACAATTTAGGAAAAATATTTAAAACCATAAAAACCTGATATCAATGTGCTTGTTGGTAATTATTAACTGAAACTATTAATTGATTAAACAGAAATTTGGTGAGAACGTTTAACACCACAAATTAGTATTTGCTCCAGGTGTACATCAATGGTTTCAGAAATAATTGAGCATTAAAACAATAATTGCTATTGTCGACCACTCCTAAGTAGATAGTAGATTCTGGTTTGTGCCGAATTAATAATATACAATTGATAACACTCGGAAAAATTATTAAAAAAAACAAGAGGTGTTGTATATTAATATTATCAAGGGGAAAAAAATAACAGTAAATTATGAAAATAATATCTATAAAATATATTCGAGGTATTAACAATGGTTTAAATCATGGCTATAAATATTATATAATATTTGTATTTATAGCCGTAGTTTAAATAAAGCATTTTAGTTTTTTTTTTTACAAAAAAACATACACACTTATATTAAAAAAAAAAAAAAAACAGTATGTTAACAAAATAAAACATAATATTAAAATAATATAATTGAGTAAAAGAAAAAAAAAACTTTGGATTTAATATTATTGTCGTTTAGTTTAACTTATAAAGAGTTGATTCGAAGTTAATTTCAGATAGTATGTTAACCAACGACCAAACGTATGGACCGAAAAATTCTTCAGGTTTCTCTTCTTCTACGTACTTAAATTTTAGGTCTGGGAATTTCTGTAAATAACCAAATAATTATTTAAAAACACTTTTCACAACATACTAGTTGTTAATAATAATTTATTCAGTGAATAAAATTCAATTAATAATTTTAAATTAATTTAAACCTTCATCAGGTCTCTGGGCCATTGAAGAGACCAATGTTGCACCCTCGATAACATTGTGTTAACATCAGATGAATTCAATAACTCTTCTTCACGCTCAAGTTTGGCAGAAAAAAAGGTTATCACCATGTCAATGTTTTGAATGACATCATGGAATCCTTCGTGACTCTTTAACGGTTCAAACACCTTGCGCTGATAGAGTAGGGCGTACACCAAATTGGGATTATGTATCAGTTGATTTGACAGACATGAGTTTATCACTTCTAATACTATGCGCAATGCTTCTTCAATGGCACTCATCTAAAATTAAAAAAAATATAATTATAGACTAGTTGAGGACATAAGAAACCATAGTAATTAATAATATGATTTTTGAACAAAAATAAATAATAAATGTATGTAATAACTGGTGAATCAATTAAAATACAATAAAATATACAACGAAAACACAAAATCTAATCTAAGTGTGTAATAAAATTTCTTTGTAATGACATCAGAATGGCATAATGATATTATTAATTTTAGATTCTGAGTGGAGCGAAGGAGCTTATGATTTTATAAAGATGTTTTTTTTTTTTTTTTATCTGTTAACAACTTTTCTACCAGAAGAATTGCTTGAATTTTTTCCTTTTCTGAAAAAAAAAATCGATGTGGGGAGGTACTTTAGGGTGGCCATTTTCGATTTTCTCAGGAGTTTTCTTATCAAATTTGAAAAACCGAAAAAACTGGAAAATTTAAGTAATATAAGTATTGGTTAAAATATTTTACAGCATTCTTTTTTTCTGTACACACTTTTCTATCAACAATTTTGTTCCAACTTATATTGATAGCAATGTTTCTAAAAGGAAATCTCATTAGAGAGGTACTTTAGTGAAGTTATTTTTTGATTTTTTCAGAAGTTTTCCCAACAAATTGGGAATTATTTTACTATAAAATGACATACATATTGTTGACAAAGTATCACTATCTGAACTAACTGAACTCCACTCAGAATCGTTTTTTGTAAGCAATAGTTTATCGTTGTTTACAGGTGTCCATTAAATTATATATAACAGTGGCTGCACCTATCCCCATTATCCTAGGAAATTTAGTTATTTATTTCAATAATTTATTCTTTTGTTATTTGTTAATATATTTTTAATTTTAATCCACAAATATTGTTTTGTGTAAATAACATACACTTTTGACCATAGATTTGATTATAAGCAACAAAAATAAAGAGCACAGAGATTAATATAATTACTGTTATATTATTGATACAATTAATTGTTTTTATTTATTACAAAATTATAAAAATTATTTTAAATGAAACTTTGATTTAATAATTTTTAATGTAATTTTAACAAAAAAAAAAAAAAAAAATGACTTACGTCTTGGTTTGGACATCTTAAAAAGGTTTTTGATAGCGTCTCATAAAGACTCAACATTCTTTGACAAACATACGGATGTAGCTGATTAAACTGCGATGACATGTTCGCTAATGCGGCAAAACAATTTATGTGCAAGTATTTATCCTAAAAAGTTCAAAAAGAGTTCAATTTTTGTTGAAATAAAATAAGAGATGGTAGTTATTTACCCTCATTTTCAGTAAGTTATATTGCGCTGTTCTCGTAGTGACCAAAATTATAAGACCCCCTAAAGAAATTTCAGATACTACTCTTTCTTGGTACCAAGTAGCGCTTTTTAGTATAATGTTGTGTACAGTCTTGTTGAAGAGTTGATCTTCAGTTAGTATTAATAATATAATAAGTGCCATATACATGTGCTGGAATCTACTGCTTTGTGTATTGTAAATTGTTCTCAAAAGTGGTATCAACTGAAAGACAAAACAATAGTAAGCTGGTTCTTTTTTATATCAACTGTAAATAAAACACATACCACAACTTCAATATCGGTACGAGCCAGAAGAAATGTTTTAAAACCGCTGTTACAATGTATTAAATGATACAGTAATAAAGTCTTTTCTTCACTCAGGGAAGTTTCTGGACTATCTCCCAGAAATTGGTAAATGGCTACGAGATTGTCTAAAAAAAAAAAAAAATTAATGTTTCAAACATTTCATTTATTATACATAATTACAATCAATAACTATAATAATTATATTAATATTTTGCTATTAATTTTTGCGTGCCTAATAATATAATATGCACAGTCAATATACTTTGACCGTACCTTGTGTACACATTAATTGTTAAATAGTACTAATATTAAATTATTGTTTACTTGAGAGCGACGAAATACAGGTCCGATATGGATTGCCTTTTGGAGGTGGCGGTGATGTACAGTGATTAATTAATATTAACAGTACACTGATGGACAGTGAACCTAAAGGACTCTGATTCGTTTGAACAGGTACGTTAGAACTCAGAGTCAATATATTCCATAAGTTTGCTTTAGAGAAATAATACATTGAAACAATTATTTGATAAAAAAAAAAAAGACAACAATATAAAACATACATGCTAATCCATAGAATATGCTTCCTCCAGATACCGAGGGTGGCTTGATTTGCTCTGTATACCTTTGCAGCAGTGCTTTTGACAGCTTTGATGCATCAATATTTTCCATAAATATTCTTTAAAATCATTTTTTTTTTTTTAATATATAAGTAATTGTAGCTTTATAACTGAGAGCTTGATTTGTCAAGATTACATAAGTATTTAATCAACATACCTATATGTAATAAGATTACTTGAAGGTTGAATGGTATACATTTGAATAGACAACACAATTAAAATACAATTTAAACTCTCAATGTGAATAGAATATGTTGAATCTCTATGGACAAATAAAAACAAAAAAAAACTTAGTTTGTTATAGTATATAATAAACAAGTATACTAACGTCACATTTAATTCGGACACAATTTTCACTAAGAGTGCTAAAAATTTGAAGAATGTCGTTTCGTTCAAATCTTCTGGTACGGCATACTCTTTTCGATCACCCAGAGCGACTTCAATTCCATCTGAAATAAGATAGAAAATATTAATTTTTTTTTTTTAAATAAAGTCATTTACAAATGTAATAAAGCTCCCATCAGATAACTGTGATAAATTAGTACATAAAGATAAAATAGATCCCGTCACAAATTAACAATGACAATTTTTTTTTTTATAAAGAATTAATACTGTAATCATATAATGTGTCACTAGGGAACTAAAGTAAATAGAAAATAATCTACAACACTGATATTTTGAAGAATAAAACTCTAGAACATTTACAATTATTTAGAAAACAGGTTCCCAAAGTTTCACAATTAGTCAAAAATAGTTAAAAATATTGAACATTTTAAAATACATTTTGAGGTACATACCAGTCTGTAACTCAAATTGATTGATGAGTTCGATTTCTTTAGAGTATTGAACGAGATATTTGAGAAAATATCGAGCGATAAATAATCCATTGTACACTTGCCACCGTAAAATATTGCTGTTGAAAATAATTGTAAATTAGGTTAGTTAATTAATAGCTGTTTTTTTTTTCTTTAAAAAAAAAAGTGTACAAATTTGGTTAAAAATACACTATTCATGCTGTCAAATGTTTAAGTGTCACACTTATACAATTCACATACATAATAATGTAAAATCTTTAAAAAGAACGTACACTTTTTTTAAAACAAACAAAGCTAATAAAATTGTCGTTAACGACCGTGTAACAGTCCACGACGTACTTCTCTTGGGCCTGCAACTTGTCAAAGTCGGCCTTTTCCAACAACAGTTTGATGAGCGTTTTGAAATTGGAAGTGTTCCTGTTGTTGGCAACCAATGAATCACAGATGCTCTTTAGCCGCTCGGTTAACATTTTGTCGTCTTGACTAAAACACGGGTGACCATTTGGTGATGTCGTACAAAGTTAGGTGCTCAAGGTACTCACCTGCATGTCGGCGGATTCAACGAGAACGTCAGGAACGTGTCCCAGAACGGATCGTCGATGGTGATCTCCAGCTCGCCGGCCAACCGGAGTAGGCAGTCGTTGTCGGCCAGCTCGCCGTGACTGGGTCCGGCGCCCATAACGACGGCGATTTGTTCGTCGTCTTCGGGCCAAGACAAAACTGGAACGCGTTAGCACAGGCAGTGGCGTTACTGGACGACGGCAGCAGCCGGACACCGGTTACGATCGGCGTTGGCCGTTCAAAACCGTATCGGCGTCGTGGCGTTCGATCTGTTATCGCGGACGGATATCGATGGATTACGGTTGACGGCGGAAAGCGAAGTACGGTCGAGAGGCAGTGGCGGCGGCGGCAAACAACGTCATAGAAACGCAAGTCGGTGAGCGAGCGAGATAAGTGGCCGTCGACCGCGTTCGTCGGACGTTTTGATATTTTCTTTTTTCGCTCGTGCGGTAATTGTTGTCATTTGTTTTCTGATTTACTACTCGGGCACCGTAACTTGTGACTACCGCGGTACGCCCGCCGACGAAGTGTTCGTCCCCCCTTATCTCGCTCTTATCGCTCACGCCGCGGTATCAACCAACGATAACGGAACCAGTGCGCACCGCCGTACGTTTTTATCGTTCCGGCCGAACGGATTTTCGTCAAACGTCTGCGGCGACCGCGTTTCGTCAGCATTACGCTCACGTTCTACCGGCGTTCATTTGGGTCTTTCGGTTTTTATCGATTGTCGGGAAAAATACGAAGACGGAAAAAAAAAAAAAAATAAATAAATAAAACGACCGTACCGTAATCGGACAATTTTCTCGGAGATTTCCCCCGGTGATGTTCCGACCGGGCCGAGTCTTCTGCCAACTGAAAATCGGTCGTTTTGTACGGGGAGAGAAGAAAAAAAAAAAAAATTAAAAACGCGCGTCATAATAAAATCAACACGGGTACCACCGAAAATGAACGTGAATAATAACAGGCAATTGTCAATCGCCGTCTTTCCGCCGCAAGGTTTGTAGAGCAAGGACGCCGCGTACGGTGCCACGACGTCGAAATAACGACGTATCAATAATATTAATTGCCGCGATCTTATCTTTCCGTCGCCAATCGGGTTATTCACTCGAAGCCCTTCAAACGCGAATTTCGTAACCGTCAGCGCGAATCGAAACGCTACGACAATCGCGGACCGATAGCAAGTCGCGGTTTCGAAAACGTGGACGGTGTCCGGGTGTGTGTTTTGACCGTCTTGAAAAAAAAAAACTGTCTTTTTTTTCTTATTCTGGTACGAACAGCGCGGAGAAAACGATTCTGTCCAATACAACGGCCCGTGCCGTTTGTTACGTTTCCCAATCGTTGCGGTAATTTTTCAAATCAATTGTCATTCGAACGGACGTTGTTTTTTCTTTCCCCCCCCCCCGTTTTAGGTATTTCTCTGTCGGTTCGCCCGTTTCCGAAAGTCCTATTTTCGTTTTACGAGCACCGCGTCCAATCGGCCCGTCCGCTAAACGATTCCCGAATACGCCGCCGAGGGGTGGGAACGGGCACCGGAAACAGGGAGGATGTGAATGAAAATACAAAAAAAAAATAAAAATACCGTTGCGGATGAGCCGATCCGTAGGAACGGCAGACGATTTGCCGTTCGCGGGTGTCAAAACCATCGTTTCGTACGCCGTTTCACCGGTGTGACGACAGCGCGGGACCGATGACGGACGATCACCGGGAAATCGGTACTAGCCGTCGTACCGGCCGGTTCGGTTCGTCGTAACCGCGCGGTCGTAAAGGCAAAACGGACAAAAAGAAATGACATAAAAAAATATCTCGATTGATTTGTTCGCGGTTGGCGGGAACCGGCCGGCAGTGAGAACGATTGTGTTATCGTGCGCAGAATCGCCGAGCGCGCCCGTCCGACGGTTTTCGTAAACGAACGCGCGGGCGTCGCGCGGCACGTCGCGTTGACGGGAAACGAGCCGAAAATCGGCTTGTCCACTCGGAACTGGAATTCGGTGGAACGCCGACAACCGTTTGAACAGCGCGCGGTGTTACGTCAGTCGCGCGCACGGCGGTCGCGGGTGTCGCGATCGTTTCCCGGAACGTTCGGGGCACCGGCCGCATTACGTCCGGGCCGTTTTTCCCGTCGCCCTCGTTTTTGCCGGCGGAACGGCCGCCCGGTTTCGATTGTCGAACGGCGACCCGCGGGCGAGGTCGGGCCGGGCGCGCCGTCCGGCAAACGCCGCGCCACCCGGACCGTGACGCGAAAGCGGCCAACGACAAAACGGCGCGAACACAAAATCGCGGCGCTCGCGCGTTCCCGGGGCCGTCCGCGGCCGGCCGATCGTTCCGCACGACGGCGGATAATGTCGGTGACACGAACGCGCCGGGCCGGGGCCTTCGGCGATAATCGCCGCGATCGCCACCGGGACCGTCGCGCACCGCATATCGCGCGCGCGTGCGTTGCGCCGCGAAAGCCGTCCGGTGGCGACGGTCTGCGACATTTTTTTTCTATCGAATTCGCGATTGTCGTTCCGCCGGCGCCGCGGCACGGCCGGAAGACGCGGGCGGGCGTTTCGCGGAGAGCACACGGCCCGATACCAGGCGATCATCGTCGCGGTCGACGAGAATGTTATGCCGGCACAGCGAAAGTCGGCGATTCCGGGAACCGGCCCGGTAAATCGGCGGGCAACGCACACTGTGGCGGCCCCGGACGCCCGTGCGGTCGTTCAGATTCGGCGTGCGGCCGGTGACATCCGTCGGCGGCGGACTGCGACGCGCGTTTTCCCGTTTCCGTTATGTCGCGCGCGCGAGGACGAACGGTCCTTCAGGACGGGCGCGGTAGGTTTGGTTCCGAGAGATTTTCGGACAATTTTTTTTTTTTTTTTTTTTTTTTTAATCTTTCTCTCCCCCCGCGTTTAAAGCGTTCGGTTTCGCGTGCCGAGAGTCGTTCGTCGGGCGCACGCGGGAAGAGTCCGACGGCGCCCGAAGGCTCTGCACTTCCGACAGTCGCGTTTTCAAGTTTAAAACGCCGCAGATTGATATTTTATTTTTTGCGCGACAGGGTTTTTATGGTAATCGTTTTGGCGCAGTCAAAAGTCACGTTCCGCCCTTGTTTTCCGGGGTCGGCATGAAAACACGTCGGCCCGTGCACATACGTATTTCAACCGTATTTCGGTTGTAATCCAATAAATTAGTTTCGCCCCTCCCCATTCGTCGCGTGATAACAAGAAAATGCGTGTAAGACGAACAGATAAATAATAATAAACCCCCCCTCCCCCGAAGAAAATAAATAAAGCAAAACAATTTTACCAATCCGTCGGGCCCGAACCAGACAACCGCGGTTACATTTTATTTAAAATGATTTTCCCTTTTTAACATAGAAACTGACTGACAACACGTACGGGCGGCGTTTCGGATTTCGTTCTTTGTACATGCATACTGTTTAATGGCTTTGAATAAATTGGTTTTTAATTACCTCCCCCTTCCACTCCTACTTCCCCCAGACGCCGATATAGTTTCGATCGAATTTCGTCAAAAAAAAAAAAAGCGACACCCGTTAATGGACATGCATTATAAATATGATTTTTCGAGACCCCTCCCATAAAAAAAAATGTTGAAAATTCGCTACTGCTGAAGACTAAACTCGATGATCGGAGAAGATTTCTCGTCGACAGAATCTCGTCGATTTTTTTTTTTACGCGCGCCGGAGAAACGTTTCCCCGTATTATGACTTAAAATAGTACGAGTGGTATTTTATATTGTTAATAGTGGTCACTGGTGTTGCGGGGTTCAATCGACAGATCGCTCTGCGGTTACGTATTATCATGACGACCTGAACGACAGGAGCGTTATTTTTTTCAGGCGAATAAATTGTAATACCTCGCTGAACTCGCTGTACAGGGAAAAAAGTTTCATATTTCAATAGGTGTATTTTCTCGGGGTCCGCGATCTTTGTCCTCTGTCCACTAATACGTACGATAAATTTATTCGAGAACACAATATTGAGTTTTTTTTCTCTTGTCGGTCATTGTCAATTCGTCGCCTCGTTTTCATTACACANGATAAATTTATTCGAGAACACAATATTGAGTTTTTTTTCTCTTGACGGTCATTGTCAATTCGTCGCCTCGTTTTCATTACACAAATGATAATTACTATCGGCAATTTTGTGACGACGATTAGCCGGATTCGATTGCGAGCCGGTCTCACCGGACGGACCCGAGCATTCGGAATTGCCAGTACCTATTCCGGACCATTAAATTTGTAACCTAAACATGAATAATTGATTTTTCGATTTGTATTTAATTTACATAGCAATTTAGACGAAATATGATCAAAATATAAACGTTTAAACATAAGCAAAAGTATTAACTATTTATATTATTCGATAAAAAATTAAAAGAAAAAGAGAGCTCTGATACTGGGGACGAGTGCGGCCACTCACGTAGGTGGGTAGTGGGAAAGGCGGAATACATTAAGTCACATAATTTATACTTGTAACCAACGATAAACCATTGATAAAGAAAAACCGATTCGCAGCGAAGTTCGGTTGTACATATGTTGAAAGGCCGTATCGATTTACGGTTTTCTTTAAAATTTGATTTTAACTCTAAAATTGAAAAAAAAAAAATATACTACATTAAACTAAATTTTTTTATTCGACCACTAAGTACGGCTTATAATGACCCTCCTGTTTTTCATTTTTTTAAACACGGATAGCGATGACTGAAATTGTGAAAAGCCTCTTCGTATGTGTATATTAAGTTGCAAACATATAACGTCATTATTGACGTTTATTTTGAATAATATGTAAATGGAATTGTGTAACAATCTAAATTCTTCGAAGAACTAATTTACCTAGTGAGTGGAAAATGATTGGACTGTTAACATTTTTAATGATATGCATTTTTAATTGAAGCTACTTCGGCAGAAAGAACTAATCCGTTTAATCGAAAATTAATCGCATTGTGTTTGTTCCGATTTCCAGTAAAGAAAATGCTCTCGGCCATGTCGTAGAAATATTGTACGCTAAACTACTGCCGAGAGTAGTAACCTCAAAAAAAATGAATAACATCACGACTGTCACTATATAATTTCCGATTTACCTAATATGCCTAATAACGTTTTTTACGTATAAAAATCCCGTGTCACGATGTTCGTTCGCGGTAATCTCCGACGCCGCTAAACTGATTTTTATGAAATTTCGGTGTAGAGATAGACGAGACCCCAGAGAAAAACACGGGATACTTTTCGCCACGAATATAACGATTTTAAAGTGGACGAAATAGGGAACGGAAGGTGTTTGGGTATTTTTGGTGTAAAATTAAATTATTTTTGTTGAACTGTTTAGATTATCTCATGGTAACGCACGGATGAAACGAAAACAAATTTAAAACAAAAACTAAATAATAAACGGAAATAAAAACGTGCCCAAACGACTATGTATCAAGACTGTCTGTCGGTCTATTATCGGCTTGAAATAGAATGGGGCGACTTTGGCAACACGGTTTAAAAAAAAAAAAACTACGCGCCACACCGGGTGGGCAAGTGAAGAGCGA